ACGTGTATGTTGTTGTAAGTAAAGAGGAAGAGATTTACACAAGTGTAAAGGGGCAGGAAACCCCACTATGCTACCATGGCAACCATTCCGAGGCTCCACCAGCCGCTGCACCAGCTGCCCCTCCTGAAACGCAGCTCCATCATCCAGACTGAGCGACTGCACCCTGTAACCCAGAGGGCTGCGCGCATTACAGTACAACACATTAGTCCCATCCTCTTCATCCACTGAAACCATCTGACATTCCACGCTCTCCGGGCCCGGCACGGCCTCCCCAAATCGCCACGTTCGCCCGTGGGTGTCACTGTGGAAGCAGAAAGCACGAGAGGTGGTCTGGCAGATCTGTCCGAAACACTCTTTGCAGTCGATGTGGTAAGCATAGGCAGGGATCAGCAGACGACCCGATTTCAGCTGGATACCGTGGCCTGGGCCGAGGGCGAAAGTGGCCCATTCTGCAGGGACAGACGAGGAAGAGACATCAAAATGAAGAAGGATAAAGTAAGAGATGTGTGACAAACCCGCAGTCCTCTTTCTGTGCAAAAGTGTAATCTTTATAAGTAACTTTCTTTGTTGTGAGCTGTGGTTGCATGGAATAAATCTCAGCAGCCTCTTTGCCACAAGATGGCTGTGACCAGGACAGATTAAGCAAGCGATTTGAGTATCCTACAGCTCAGATGTTACTAAAAACACAGCAATAAACAAAAAAGAATAAATGGCTCTATAGTAAAAGTGTAGTTTTGAAGCTGATAACAAAGATTGTTAACCAGTGCAAATAAATCACCATCCCCCTAGTATAGAAGAACACAAATGCAAACTTTTTTTTTAAATCAGCAGATTACAAGAGTACTTGTTATTAAAAGTTTCTTTTTTTGTACCGTAATTAAATAAAGCAACCCGTACATAATAAAATGTCAAGAGAAAATTCACATTTGTGGGATACAATGAAGCACAGGATTTATCCAGTTTATTCTAATCATGCGTATTTAAAAAAAGAATTCCCTGACCTTTGATAGTGTCTCCTATCACCCTCTGTGTGAGGTCGGTGACAGGGCTCCAAGTGTCTCCTTCGTCTGTGCTGCAGATGAAGCAGAGTCGAGTCACGTTCTTCCCCGTCACCAGCTGGTAGGACTCAGAGGTGTGGCCGAGGACAGCGATGAAGAACAGGAAGAGGGTACCTGTGAACTCATCGTACACCGGACACGGGTTCATGGAGCGATGACCTGAAAGGAAGGCGGTGCCCAGAACATGCATGTCCTCCCACTAGAACAACAGAAGGAAAAGGGAGGAACAGAAAGAAGATCCTATTTACTTCAAAGACCACATTAACTGCAGAGAATCAGATTCTTGTTATGGTTAAGTCGCTCCCTTCAGGTATGACCCCACAAAACCTGTCCTGTTGTTCTTAAAACAACTTTTTTTTATTGTTCAAACTTCCAACAATCAGCTCACTAAATCATACTGTTAGAGTTTAGTCTTCCCAACCTTTTCAAATAAACCAAGCATTATACTCTTCTGTGATTTTGTTTCTGTATACAGTTGACATGGCTGTTCATTATAGCCCTTCTAACATATTTAGGTAGACTTTTATGCAAGTATTTTTGTGTCTGAAGTTAAAAAAAGGGGTTACATTACAGGTGCAGGAACAAACACTTACCTCCACATAGTTCCTGTAGAAGGTTCCTTTCCTCATGACCAGCAGGTGAGCCTGAGAGTCGGACGGGCTGAGTCTCTCCTCACAGAAGGCGAGGAAGCAGCTGGTGCGGGGCAGGTAGAGCAGAGCTGGGACCCTGTACGTCACCCCGTTTGGCTCCTTGCGGAAGAGCATGGACCTCGCTGGGAAATAGGGCGACCTCATGCTCACTGGTGTGAAAGTGAATCCTCTGAGAAAGACAATCAGAATCAGCTGCTGAGGAATGTCACTGCAGTTATCAGAAGCTTTCATGAAGTGCTCAACAAAGAAGAACTCTTGTGAAATATGTATAATAATATTTTAGAGGAGGTATAAAAATGTCCAGCTTCATTGTTTAGAGATAAATAGAAGTTTTTATACAGTTTAATCTATAACTGTTACAGAGTCTTATATGGTGAATGGGATTTATTTCTTATGGATTCATAGACACATATACATAGGTAGTTGATGTGAAGTATTATGCAAGTTAACACATATATGTACAGTATAATTCTTGGTTGGGTATATTAAATACTCCTGGGTTAGATTTACATGATATTGCACAACTGGTATATAAAACAGTAATATTGATGATGTGTAAGTATATCTGATGTTTGGTGATAAAGGGTTATTGCCCATCTTTATTCTCATATCACATGTCATATATTTATATTTTTAAATGAGACAAAAATATGTTTAATCTTTGAGATTTTTTTCTAAAAGATCTATGCTATAGAATGATTAATTATGTTTGCTATCTCAACTAGACCAGCTGTGTGACAAACCTTCTTCCACCTTCAGCTGATGCAAGATGTTAAACATCACTTCAGAAGGATTCTATTTCTTCTGTTTCTAGGGATTTTATTGTTACATCCTAACATTTGTTAGGTAATTAAACCCCCCAATACATTATATTTTTGCACAACGTCTTAAATTAATATAAATAAAATATGCATTTACCTTACTAAGAGCCTTACAACATCACCATCAGCCTTCACTCAAACTCACAAAAGGAAAACTCAACATATTACAAATGCCACATGGAGGAGATGTTAGAATTCACCACTAACTGCCATCTAAACCTGCTGACTAATTCACAGGTCACATTTCAGCAACTACAGAATCACATTACACACTTAACTACAGTGTTGATTTAGTGAAACCGCTCAATATAACTGCAGGAGGAAGTAGAATCTTGTGCAGGTGATGTGCATGAAAAAGGGAAACGAGTGAAGAATACTTACACCAAAGTGCTCCGTGAACTCTGCTGCTCCTTTGTGAGGACATACAGTATGTGTCAGCATTTGAGTGAAGGGTTCACAGTGTTATGTAGGCCTATGTGTGTTGAGTGTGTGTAGTTAGTTGTTGTGCGTTTTTAGGGTGTGAGTCTGAAATGTATGGCCTCTCCTCTCTGTTCCCCTTTTCAGAGCAGCAGCTTGCCAAGCTGTTCACTGACCCAGAAATGGACCGCACTCATCAGATCTACAGCTTTGGATGAATCAGCGCAGAGCAGCCATTGTGGAAATGAAGGCCGGGTGAGGGGGACCCCCTGAACAATGATTGGATGTTCTGCCTCCTCTCTGACCTGTGTGCTTTCCTCTGAAATGTTCTGCAAAATGTGTAGGAAGTTATTCTCATACCATTTTAAGTTGTTCAGTTAGAAATGTATAGATCTGTTAGAATAGTGTATTGTAGAAATGAGACATTGTTTGTATAATCTTAGAGGAACACATGCTATTTCATAATCACCAACTTGTACTTGAGATTTCATATCATAAATGTATTCACTACTATATTTTTTTGTGATTGTGTAGGCATTTCTTATTTTTGTATTGGGAGATCTGTTTATTTATATTGTTATATTTGCACCTTAACTGATAGTTTATAGGCTGTTGCTCTTTGCTGTCTTTCTGTTGTCCTTTTTGTAATAGCTGCACAACAGCAGTTCATAGTGCTAATTAGCCCTTTAAAATACTTTGAATCTTTCATTATGTATCATCTGCAAGTCATGCAGTACCATATGGAAGCCCATTTCTGCCAGTTAAAAAAAAAAAAATTAAAATAATAAAGTCATATTAATGAGATAAAAAAGTCAAAATTATGAGATAAAAAGTCATAATAATGAGATATAAAATCGAAATCATGAGATATAAAGTCGAAATTATGAGATATAAAGTCATAATAATGAGATATAAAGTCATAATAATGAGATAAGTCAAAATTATGAGATAAAAAAGTCGAAATCATGAGATATAAAGTCGAAATCATGAGATATAAAGTCGAAATTATGAGATATAAAGTCGAAATTATGAGATATAAAGTCGAAATAATGAGATATAAAGTCGAAATAATGAGATATAAAGTCGAAATTATGAGATATAAAGTCATAATAATGAGATATAAAGTCATAATAATGAGATAAGTCAAAATTATGAGATAAAAAAGTCGAAATCATGAGATATAAAGTCGAAATTATGAGATATAAAGTCGAAATTATGAGATATAAAGTCATAATAATGAGATATAAAGTCGAAATCATAAGATATAAAGTCGAAATAATGAGATATAAAGTCGAAATCATGAGATATAAAGTCATAATAATGAGATATAAAGTCATAATAATGAGATAAGTCAAAATTATGAGATAAAAAAGTCGAAATCATGAGATATAAAGTCGAAATTATGAGATATAAAGTCGAAATTATGAGATATAAAGTCATAATAATGAGATATAAAGTCGAAATCATGAGCTATAAAGTCATAATAATGAGATATAAAGTCGAAATCATGAGCTATAAAGTCATAATAATGAGATATAAAGTCGAAATTATGAGATAAGTCAAAATTATGAGGTATAAAGTCATAATAATGAGACTTTATTATTTTCATTTTTATTTGTGTTTACTGGCAGAAATGGGCTTCCACAGTACCAAGCTTTATGTTTGAATTCAGACATGTAAATAAAAAGGTGATTTTTGCTTTTAGAAATTGTTAATGTAAAAACATGAATCCACTTCACAATCTCAAAAGGTTGTAAAAAAAAAATCATCACAGAAAAAAAAAAAAAAAAAAAGCCTGTGATGTCATCAATACGCGACTTAGCCGCACATGGCTGCCCGGTGAAGTTTTGACAACACTTTCTAAGGTATTGTATTTCTGTGGTCTTGAAGCTATCGTTAAGGTCACACGACTGATTAAGATTACTTTCTAACGGAAAATTAACAAAAACATTCTCAGATTAAAGAGTTTAGAAGAGCGTGGACACAAGTGTTAGCTTTGAGGCTACAACTGTCGAACTAAGACTGTGTAATGTTTGACGTTTCTATTCCGTGTTTGCCTTTCTTTAAAATATGTCATTCTATTTGCTGGGTCAATACTAAAGACCCCCTACTTAAAGCTAGTACATTAGTTTATAAATAAAGTTTCAATTCCCCTTGACAGAAAGGAAAAATGTAGCTGCATGTGTTTCTGGTCTCAAAGATAACTTGTCTTTATCTTCTGTTTTCAGAAGGTCAGCATGGCCAGGCAGTGGTCTGAAGGCCACTCCTCATCCATCCTGTGTGTTGGGGCGTCTTCAGGCCTCGAGGGTCTCCTTGCCTCGGGCTCTGAGGGCGGAGAGGTCACGGTCTGGAGCCAAGAGGGAACCATCGTAGGCCGTGTCACACTCCCTGGTGAAGACGACTGCACAAGTGTTGTGTTTGGACCTGCTGCTCCAGGTCAGCTGTACGTGTCGCATGGAGATGCTGTCAGCGTGCTGGACCCTCGAAACCTGAAGGGCCCCGTGGAGGAGTTTCAGGGAGCAGGAGAAGAGGAGATCAATGCTTTGACAGTAAATGAGACGGGGTCAGCCCTGGCGGTGGCTGATGACTCTGGAGCGGTTCGGGTACTGGAGCTTCCCGGGGGAAAAGTGTGCAGGACTCTTCGTAGACACACTAACATCTGCTCCTCTGTGGCTTTTAGACCGCAGAGGCCCAATAACCTTCTGTCAGCTGGACTGGACATGCAGGTAAGGGAGAAGAGGGGGTGACATTGAATTTCAAATGTGTCCTGACATATCATCCACTTTAGTATCAACAGTATTTTTCTTTTGTTGTTGTTGCTTCAGGTGATGCTGTGGGGTCTGCAGAAGACACGCCCTCTTTGGATATTAAACCTCCAGGATGTAGCAGAGGAAGAAGATGACCAGCAGCAGCAGCAGCGTCCTGGCCAGCTGTTCAACCCGCCTCTGGTCCACTGTGTTTCTGTGGCCAGTTGTGGGAACATTGTGGGCTGCGCTGCAGAGGATGGACGTGTGCATCTGATGCGGATTGGCAGTGGATCTAAACTGGAACAGCAGGGAGCAGTTAAAGCCCACAACCAGGGGGCCTCACAAGCTCACTTTGCGAGTTTCCTTTCCCATCCTTACTGGCTCGTTACCGGGGGGAATGATGGCCAGGTCGTCCTCTGGGAGCTCAGTAAGCACCCAGTAGTGTCTCTGGAAGTAAAGGCCAGCGCCCCAGCAGCTCCTCGCAGGAAGGGTAAAAGCAAAGCCAAGAGGAAAGAACAATCCCGGGACAAAGCAAAGACCCCGCCAAAGGGTGACACTGAGAGGGAAGAAGCTGAGGGGGAGGATGAAGTGGCAGAGGCAGCAGCAGCAGGAGCAGAGGAAGAGACGGAGGAGAAGTCTGGGCTCAAACTCAGCATCAGTCACGGGGACAAGGTGAACTGGTTGTGCCCCGTTGTACTGAAAGGAGAACCCAGCGTGGTGGTCGCAGATCAGAGCTCCAGTCTGACAGTCTACCCTCTGTCCCCAATGTAGAGTTATTCTCTGCACAACATGCTCTGGTCTATTTAATTTGCCTTATTATTAGTTTACAAGCTTGTTAGATCAGCAAACACTCCTCTATGTTTCATCCTGTTAGAAATGGTAACCTAATTATTTGGACTTTGATCTTCTTATTGGCATCATGTTGTTACATGAGGTTTATCTCTCTTATAATAAAACTTTGATTGTGCAGGCAGAAACCCACATTAACGGCTGTTTTAAACCAGTAACCCTCACTGAAGCATACAAAGGTTACAAAAGTCTCATTTGTCTTGAGTTTTTACACAATATGCAACACAGTTTATGCGTAACTGTTCATGGGGGTGCTATTTAAATGTGAGCTCTACTTATTAAATGTGGTTAATAAGGGCTTTTAAATGTGTGTGTGTGTGGGGTCCTATAGTCCTTTGAAATGTGTTTCACTGAATGCATTTTTGAAGGACTGCCAAACCACCACACAAGAGAAAAGAGAATCTACTTAATCCAAATGAGACAGACAGAATTTTAATCAAGTTCTTAGCTATTCACAAAGCATTTATCAGGCTTTAGACACGTGAAGCATCTTAAAGACAGCCACATGTCTACGTTTCATAGACAGACACAGTCCAGATTTCAATCTGTATGTGTTGATGATTGAAACATGCTTGCTGCTTGTTTATCCTCACAAGCTTAATGTGTTACCCATGGGGGCAAGTGCATGTTTTGAAGGGGGAAAAAAAAGGAACATTGTGCTTATTAATCAATTTGCGTCATCAAAAACTTTTATATTGTCAATTTTCAAACAAGCCAGACAAGTACAAACATACACAAAATCCTAAATCCATACATTCAATGCAAATGCATTGTATTCACGCAACACTTTCAGACAAAGTTCTTTCTTACAGATAGGCAGAAAACTCTCTTAATACCAGAAGAAAAAAAAAAAAGGCACATGGCTGACTTCAATAAATGCAATTCCCTATCTCTCGGCTATCCGTCTTATCAAGCAGCTTGTAAATCACGCTAGCTTAAATTTAAAACAGAAATGTTGAAACTCTTGTGACCTCTTCAATGATTTAAATTGAATTTATGAACAGCAATTGTTGTAGTTGATGAAAATAATTTAAACTATATATATTTTCCAAAAATGCCCAAAAAAAAAAAAAGCACTTTTGAGGCGGATGTTCACAGCAGGATTGACAGAATATGCACAAAATCATTACCAGCACTGCAAAACAACCCGGTGATCAGCGGTGCCTTTTCATTACTTTAACTTTGGAGTCCTTTTGGTGTGTTCGATTCAACGTGTTCCATGCTCCTTCACTGTCATGTCATTTTAAGCTTTACAGCCAGCGCATCTACGACCATGTTTGACTGGTGACTCCTGTCAAATATATCCTCCAATGAGATACATCTGTCATCCCTCCTTTGATTAGGTTATGTCGATCTGTGGTGTGTGTCTTTGAGGGAAGTTCTGCCCTAGGATGATGTTGCCGATTTCACAGTTTAGCCAGACTCTTCTCCAGGCTCTCCATGTCTGCATCCCCGTCTTCACCCTTGCCGCCACGGGCGCTGCACTCCAGGAACTCAACCTTCATAGGGAGCTGGCTGAACTCAAAGTCCTTGCCTTTTTTCCCCAGGTACATATTTCCGCCTACAGAGCCGTCCTGAGAGCTCAGAGCGGCAGAGTGTGTCACTCGCAAGGTGTTCCTGAAAGAAGCAGGACAGGTTGAGGCTTTACAAATCTGAATATTTACATTTCTCCAGAGGTTTGGTAGACCTTTCTGTTGAAGAGATTATTAAGACTTGACTTCTTACAATAAGACTCAGTTGACTCAGATGGCTTATGTTGATGACAAGTTTAAGATGAATACTCGTGAGGAGACATGATTCAATATCACACTTCTGTTCTCGTGTCTTGCTCAATCACATCTGCAGAACTTCTCGAAAGGCATCGCATATATCCCAAAAGACATTATCATTATCAGGGTCGTGTCACATTGACCCACCTAGACTAATCTGTGACGTCTATAACACTGGAGCAGACAATAAGTCTACCAAACATCCTTTCAGATATCAGGAAGAACAGTTGACACTCTCTAAGCTGTACTTGTTGTTCTAATAACAGCTGAACTCTGTCAGGTCTGACTGACATTAGAGAACAGTGAATAAACCTCATGACATCTGTACATTATAATCTAAATAAATACAGAAATTCCACCACAATTTCAGTTCCCACTTCAAGTATCCTAGAGCTAACAAGGCTGAATGCAAAACGCTCCCAACCAGGTGTAACAGATATCATGCACAGAATCAAAGCCCAAATATTCAAATACTTACAATTCCTTTTCAAGCTGCTGCTGGATCAGTTTAGCTGATTTAGCCATGGTGATATCTGCAACGTGTATAGAGACCAGTAAATTGTACCATGACAGATAAGCAAATTCAGGTGCAGGCTGAAATAGAAGACCAACAGCCAAAGTGCAGATCATTTAAAAGCAAAAGTGTTGTTGGACCTTGTTTGTTGCATGCCACCAGGAGAGTCGGGGCGTTCCTCGAGATCACCGGCATCGGTCAACAAGATGTACAGGAACTCTGCCACATCTCTCACTTCCTTCTGGAAGATGGCGCTGTCCACTACGTACACAATCGCCCTGGGAAGACACCAGAAAAGGGGTAAAACGATAATGAAAGTGGGATCTG